CTTTGTTTAGCAACATCGTTAGAATGTAACGTTAGAATTTTGAAAATGATACGAAGTATTTAAGACTAATCTTTATCGTTAGAATTTTCAAAATTAATCTTCACTATTAAATTTTTTTAAAACACAAAAATAAAGATAAAAAAAGTAAAAAAGTCACGAGGAAATTTTGGTTTCAAACATTAGCCACTTGAACAAATTAAGCACACTGAGCCAAATCATGAGACATATATATACGGAGTATAATACCAAGTAACGACAACTAGAAAATTTCTGGAATTTACTAACCTTGACCATATTAGACTAGTTTGGTATACAGACAACAATCATTGATAACAAATGATCATATTTGGAACATTAGCAATGTCAATACTGGTGTCATATTTGATGAGTTTGTAGCATAAATCTAAGAACCAAACACTACTTGAAAATGTTTTACTTGAAAATGTTCAATTTATGTTGATAGTTGCACATTGTTTTCTCAAAAACATGAGGAGATGAAGATGTAACATCTTTGAGATCACAGTCAATGGTGGAATTGACTTTCTTCACCTTCATCACCAAAACTTTCACTCTCATTCTCACATGAATCTTCAAGCTTATATCAAACCCTCCATTTCTCCTCATCATCTGCTCGCTCCAAGTCCGGTTCCGGTCCTTAAATACCATATGTAGCTCCGTCGTGTTTTTCCCCCCTTGAAAGAATGGGTGCAGCTCCACGGTGGTGAATCTTCGCCCGGCAATCGTCGTTGTCGCCTCGACTTTGTCGTAGTAGAACCCGATTGCCCTATTCGGGTTACGGACAGACACGTTCACGGCGAGGTAACTGCTGATCGGTGCGTGGCTCTTGTTCTGGTTGTGGGGGAGGGTTAAGGAAACGGAGTCCGCGTAAAACTGAGGCGCATAGCAGCGAAAGACGTACCACGCGATGGCAAAGACGACCGCTGCGACAGCGGCGGCGACACACAAGATCTTGATGATGCAGCTAAGGATGCAGTTGAAGATGCAGCCGCAGCAGCAGCTGAGGAGGTTGCAGCAGCAACAGCAACCTCCGTCGCCGCCGCGGCTACGGTTGTGGTAGGCTACCATTTTCTTAGACATGTAATGGCTCGGCTAGTAATAACTATACTATACGGAGTAATAATATGCTAAACAAAAGGATGGGCCGGGGTATAAAATATTTTCCTTTGGTAAGATGTTAAGATGGTGAGGTTCAAGGAAGGTCCCAATCGGCAAGAGATATGTAAACTTAAGTTGCTTTTACAAAAGATGGTACAATTTTCTAACATTACTTTTGACAAACAAAAATTTACTTTGGCACTTTTTACTTCCCATCAAAGACGGAAGTCTTCAAAGTCCAAACGCCAATGGGATGACAATCACATTTTTCACCAAAAATAATAATTAGATCCAAAATTTCTTTCTCTGGTTGCTTTGGCAAAGAGATTAGGAAAAAATAAAAAGTGTAAAAATTTTCCATGTATTGTCCTAGATGTGATGAAATAAAATGAATACTGTAAATATAAAGTAAGATTATAATGATACATTCTTTAAAAGTTTGTTACCAAAGTAGGAAACTGGAAAAGAATTTTTAGAAAGTCCAAAAAAGAAAGCGAGAAAGAAATTAATGGAGAGAGGGAGTAGATCATAAACTCGGAATTCAAAAAAGAAATATTTGCACTAAATAGCACTAAAACTTAAGTCATTTCTCTAAATAGCACTTAAATTGTTTTATTCTCTAAATAACACTTAATAATGTCTATAATGACCAGTGATGGCAAACATTTACTTGAATAATGACTAATGGATAATGACTAAAAGTGCTACATTGGGAAAAAACACATGTAGTGCTATTCAGGGAAAGTCATTATGTTTTAGTACTATTTACGTAAATTCCTCATCAAAAATCTGGATTCAACTAATCCGTATATTGGGTTATTTTGTATTCAATTTGGAGTATTATTTTTATGTAATAATTAATATATAAATTTGGGTTTGTAGCGGTACAACTTCGGACATAAATTTGGTGGGGTCTATAAAATTATTTTTTCAAAACAATTTTGGATAATTAATCTCCCAAGTGAAACGTTTCTTTTGAAACATTGTGAGCCAAAAATGGTGCTCGGTTGAATGAGAAATTAATTCATAAAATTGTACATTTGGAAGGAGTAAAACTCATATATCCCACATCGGATTTGAGAATTTTCATATTCCACCATTTATATGGTAACCTTGAATTACATGTTAAAGTAATGGAAAATGCTTGGTTCACAAATACAATGGTTTGTAACGTCCTACAAACCGGCCTGGTTTTAAATAAGTAAATATTATTTATTTATTGAGACTCATTATTTTAAATTAATAAATATTGAGATTTCGATCTCTTTAAATGGCTTTCCAAAGCTAATGTATTTTAATTATAAAAGATGTTTTAATAACGGACCTCTCAACATTAATTAAATGAATTAATTAATGATTGGGGTGGACCCGGAAGTTTGAAAAATAAAGTTCATTAGAAAAATAATTGAACACGTCATTAAATTTGTTTTGACTGTCTGATTCCAAAAACGCAAACGGATCTCAATTCAGACCCGTTCGGGGGAAAAAGCACGCATCGTTCAGGTCAGATTTTACACAACGGAGTAAAATTAATGAAATAACTCCCCACTTAATTCCACCTCCATTCACACGCCACTTCCCCCATTTCTTCACATTCACTCCCCCATAAACTCTACATTACTCCTCATCATTATAATAGTTCCCCCCCCCCCTTCATTTCCTTAGCAATTTGTAACTTCCACTCCATAACTCCCTCACTCCCTCTTCCTCTCCCCCAATTCGGCCAAGGCAACAAGCGAACCCAAGGAGGATTCCGGTGAGTAGACGTGGAGGTAGAAGAAGAAAGTTCACGCAAGAAGTTTGTTCGTTCGTTTGTTCATTCATCGTCATCTATTCGTTCATCTCGTCCTATCATTCCGTCAACTCCTTCAACTAGAGGTGAGTAGTTGTCCCCTCTAATTCTAGAACATCAAGTTATAATCTATGTTGTTATATTCATAGGAATATCGTACGCAACCTATGTAGAATTAATGCATGTTCGTAGGTTAGCCATCAAAACGTTCACTACGTAAAACTTGTATATATTGGCCTAGGAATCACTAGGAATATGTTTATCAATGTTTAGATTATTGTTCTAAAAAGAATCAAGGTGTTAAGTTTGCAAAACGGATAAAAACGGAGCCAAAGACAGAAGACCGTCATCGAGACGGTCGACCGCCGCTACGGACGGTGGACCGTTCCCATGGTCAGTCCGACGGTCACCACCGTGACGGTCGACCGCCGGCCACGACGGAAGACCACAGTGGACCGTCGGCCATCCAGACCTCCATAGTGTAGCCCACGGTCGACCGCCGGTAGGGCACGGTCGACCGTTCCGCAGGCAGAATTTCGGGCAGTTTGTAGAACGAGCCCCATTTGACCAGTTTGACTCAGAATCTGATTGTGTGTTTGCACGAAATGTTAATATTCATTATGTGTGTTATTTAATTGATATATTCTTGGCGTTGACCAAAGGTAAATACATCAAGCATTCATCATGTTCAATTTAGACACATGTATTCATCATGTCCATCCTAGACGCACGGCCTAGGTTTATCATCATGTGCATACCGCTGTAGGGAGGTCATGCTTCCGTGCGCCTACTACAGTTGGCCCGTCCAGTAACCTTTGGGACCCAACGGGTTTTCATCAGGTGGGCTTTGTGTACGTACATGGTAGTCAGGCTACGGCTACCACCCGGTTTTTGCTAGTTCACTTGCAACGTTTTGTCGAGCTCGGGTCATTACCGGAGTGCAGAGGTGATCCTGTCAAGTGAGACTAAGTCAGGGGTGTCCCTAATAGTTCAAGTCATACATCAAGTTATATAGTCATCATGTATGTTCCATGTCACGTCAACAATCAGTATGGTTGTCATCATCATGTATGTTCCACGTCACTTCAACATTCAATGTGGTTGTTATTCATTTTGTTAGGTGTAATAATATCCCATCAAGTGTAAATTAATCAGTTAGTAAACAGTTGGTTTTCCGTACGTTAAAGTACAGGTATTAATATGTGTATAACCATATGGGTTATCACTTAAAGTTCTTTTGTTAGATTCACTCCTCAACTTATGCTGAGCGTGTAGTTGTTTTTGCTACACGCAGGTAGACATGACGGTGCAGGTGCTAACCCTGGAGGACAGTGATGGTGGGAAGATGGGCGGCGCATGGACAAGTTCAATAATTAAATACAGTAAATTAATTAATCATTTGGGCATGAACCCACCATTTGTCGTTTTACTCATTTATTTACTTCCGCTTTTACTCTGCATTTATATCAGTCACGTTTTTGGGAATAACTCCTAACATTTATTTCACCAAGTAAAACAAACGTTTTCATAATAAATAGTCATTAATATCCCATTAATCAAACGTAACCGTTTTCTTATTAAATAATCATTAATGTCTTTTGCTACGGACGGTTCTCGGACCGCCCATGTAACCCTACCGGTCCGTCGGGTCGCGGGTGAACTGGGTCTACGGAAGGCGGGTGTTACAAGAAACTTCACAAATTTACTATTTGTGAACTTCAATGGGAAAAATTAAATGGTTTATAATGATTTTAAAATAAAATTTTGAATCATAAATAGTAAGTTTGTGAGTATTCTATTTGTGAACCTAGCATTGCTCCTCTGTAGCTTCCAACTACCGTGATATGAATAAAAAAATTTAAAAATTTAGCGGTATCTACAATAACATTTACAACAAGGTGCATGCTTGATAAAAATTTCCAACTTTAAAGTTTTTTTTAGGTTTAGAGAGTATTACCCGGAGTATTATTTATAAAATTGTACAGTACAATTCTTCTAAACTGCATGCTTGATAAAGGGATTCAAAAAACAAGAGTAAAATGAAAAAGAAATACTCATTCCTTTGAAAATGTTTCTCCAGTTTTGATTTTTTATAACCAATCAAGATTTATTTTTAATTTATAATTAAATAAAAATTATATTAAATATTAATTAGATAGAGCAATATTTTTTCGGAATATTCTATAACATAAAAAATAAAATTATTATTAAATAAATATTTAACATCATTTTATTTAATTTATACCAAAGTTTGTTAATATTGACTATGAAATTCAAAAATGGACAAACAGTTGGAAACCATGCCACGTTGACTAGCTTGACCATCAAACGCTAACGTCGCAACTCTGGGAAAGCTGATACTTGACGGTGTTTCCCACGACGATACCTCCGTCTCCGGGCGTCGTCCCCAGCGGAATAAAAGCCGGGCAGTCTACATGAAGATGGTAACGGCCCGTGATAACGTCGCCTACCCTCCACCTAACGCGGCCGGCGATCTTGAACGTGAGCCAGACGGCGCCGTCAGCCTTGTCCCGGGTGAGATCCGGGCCGTAAAACGGCGCAATGGGGACGTTATTGCCGCGAAGAAACGGCGACCAAACGTTGACGTCCTTGTGGCCTTGGTACACCGGCGAGATCTCGGAGAAGTAGGTGACTTGCTGGCCGCTGTATGTGGCGTAGACGTCGAGCTTGTCGTAATAAATTCCGACGTTACTGTTCGGGTTGCGGGCGGTGACGGTGACTTGGATGGTGGTGGAGAAGACGTTTGGGGCGGAGACGTTGAAGTTAAAGATGGTGGCTTGCCGGAGAACGAAATTGGGCTTCTTGGGCTGGATTATGGCCCAGATTATCAGGATGAGGAGGAGGATGACGAAGAGGAAGATCATAAGGCCGGAGAGGCATCGCCGGATTCTCTTCTTTTTCCGGTCCTTGTGGTGGCTACACTCCTTCCCCGACATGGTTTTCCGGCAACGGCAGGCGGAGGAGTAGTAGAGATGTGTTATAGCAGGGCACGCTAGGTGTTTGTAGTAAATAAATTAAATAAGGCTCGAGAAGTATTTATAGGGTCCTATATCCCGAATTAATTGTCTCATTTAAAAATAAATTTTTTTAAAAACTAAGTGACACTGAAATTTAAACACGTGACCTCTTGATTCTCTCATATCATGTCAAAGAATTTACTCAACCAATATAGATTGCACTGCTATTATAACAGTCGTTCGATAACTTTTGTTTGTTTGTATATTTTCATTGATTAATTGATATTATAAGATATTTTCATTATCTCTTGTTTTTAAAAACTTTTGACGGAGTATTTTTGAACGATATAAAATTTTATTTTTTATATATAATGGAGTAATTAGTAATCAAAATAATTTTAAAATCTAAAAGATTTTACACATTATTTGAATTGACAAGTATTTTAGGATATGGTAGGGTAAAATGATTTTGGAGGGGGGAGAACTATTTAATGATGTGTATATCCTACCTGTGCATGGAATATGGTGGAATTAATTAAGGGACGGTTGTCTGTGTGATTTGATTATGTTGTGCATGAGTGTGGGGAAGAAAGTCTCCCAAAGTGGCTAAATTATCGTCCTACTACATTGAAATTTGTGGAAAAGGTGAAATAGTGAACATGCATGAAGCTAATGGCTTACACACACACACACACATATATATATATATAAAATCTAACCTTTAGATCTGATACATTGTGCGGCTCAGATTGCATTTGCAAATTGCAAAAGATTTTGGTGTATCTAATTTTGAAACAATCCTTACCCTTAGATCTCACTATCTAAAGCACCAGATTCATTCTTATTTCTTTCATAAGGTCGCATTCTCACCAGAACACACACACACACATATATATATATATGTGTGTATGTATGTATGTATGTATGCATTGACATATCACACTGATATATAAATAGAAAATGTTTTCCATCTTGAACTAAAAGATCTCATGTGTCGTTTTAATTAACTTAATTATGTGAAATTTGCACTGAATAGGACAAAAACATGAATCATTTCCCAATGTAGGATCGGATTTAAACTTGTTTATTGCCTCCGTCCATCCCCCTGTATTTGTACACTTTCATTTTTACACACCATTCAATGCACTTTTTTAATCCATTTTATCTTGTAATTTGTGTATTAAAAAATTATAAAAATTATATATTAATAATCTATATGTTAAGATAAATCAAACAACATAACATATGACTATATTTAGGCTTACACATTGAGAGAATGTGATGAGTCAAAGTGCTTAGATGAACAATTTCAAAAGTCAAATGTGGACAAATACAGGGGGACGGAGGGAATAATAACTAGTGAGAAAAATAATTTCCAAGTGATGCTAGACATTTAGTTGAATAATGACCAATGGTCATACAGTGGAAAATAAAAACTTATGATCCTATATTGAGAAAGTCATTATGTTTTAGTCCTATTTAGGTAAATTACCCCTTAATTATTCATCGAGTTCTTTGATTTTTGTGAGGGATCTGGGTCAACAAAAATAAAATATAGTTGTTGACTTGACTAAGGATTGGGGGGCGAATAAATGTGCACAAAATTACGGAAAGAGTAAATTTGATCATACTCTCTCTCGTAATAATGTTCGACAATAGTTTTTTTTATATATATCTCAAAATTAGATCGGTAAAAAATTACCCGACCTATTTTTGACACGAAACCCAACTTGAAAACATTGAATTTTGAACAAAGGTTTTGATGACTGAACCCGAATTGACCGAACCCGAAATGACCGCTAAAAATGGGTCAAACCTGACCGAAATCAAACCTGACCTTACCGACTCGCGAAAATTATAGTTTTTCAAAATCATACACTTTACTACTCGTTTTTAATATATAAATTTATGTTTTTAGAAAAAGTTTTAATGATATTGCATAATTATTTTACTTTTTTCTAAAACTTAGACATTTTTTTGAATTCCTTATATTGATTTATATATCTAATTGTTTTTTTCAGGATTTAAAATAGAATAACATAATAGATTTAATACATATTTTTTGATATTTTAGAATTATTTAATAGAAAATGTAAGTGTTAATGTGAATTTAAAAATTTATAAAACTAAAGTCATAACTTGTTGGGTCGACCCGAACCCGATGACACTGGGTCATGAACATACAGTTCTCAACCCGAACTTGAATTAACCCGAAAATATCTAAATTAAAACAAGAGTTTTAATTTTTATTTCTAAAATAAAAGTTAGAATAATACTGAGTACATATCTAGTGTCAATGATGACTATATGCATTACCAAAAATTTTATGAAATTTCTATATATGATGTCACATTATCACAGGTCAAATATCTATTTTAGGATAAAATTATGAAACTTCTATTTTAGTAATTTCTCTATGTTTAAACGGTGGAGTTTCAGTGACACCGAAGTAAGGTGACACTCCGGTGCCACTGTCATTTTGGAGTAGTTCAGGTACCCCGTTCTCAAAATTGACGGTTCCTACCCCTTAACCCACCCCCTAAACCCCCACCCTATCCCTGCCCCTGCACCCCCATCGCCACCCCAACCCCGTCGTAAGCCCCCCACAAAATGTGTGGCTATATTAAGCAATGTACCGCCAATTTTATGGGGTGGGTTAGGGGTAGAAATCGTCAATTTTCCAACAGAGCACCGGAGATGCTACAAAAACGCAGTGACACCACTAATGTCACCAAACATGAGTGTCAGTAAAACCTCGCCGATGTTTGAATTCTATTTAGGGTACATTCTCTACTACTATTACTCCGTCTTATATTTTCCACTAGATTAACATTAATTGTAATATACCCGGTAACATTTTTGAAATTTATACTGATTATGAACATAACACTTACTTCTAAAATAAAACTATATTCCAAAAGATATTAATTTAATATTACAACTTAATGCATTTTCAACAAAAAACCAAGATCAAATGTACAAAATTTGACCTTAAAATTAGAACTATTTACACTGTACAGGAAAAAGAATAGAAGAGGATTCAAAAGCATCTACAGATTTTTTTTTGTGGGTTCAACCGAAAACCATGCACGCCGGTTTAACGCCATCCCAAACTCCGGCACCGCCCGGATCCTTAAACTCCGTCTTCAGGCCGGCGCAAACAACCTTAAAAATTGTCCGCCGGCTCCACGACGACCCCGACTTGAACGTCGCCACCACCGTCAACATTAGGTCAAACGTCACGCTCCGGTCCCGGTCGTACTCACTTTTCATATCCTTCAGCCAAATCTCTCCGGCGTCGCCGAACCCCCCCGCCGGAGTGGCAAGCGGCGCCGCTTTCAAAACCATCCTGGCGTCCCTTTTGAGCTCGAACGGCTCAATCTGTTTCTTGGCTATGACGGCCAGCTGGCGGTACCCCACCCCGACCTCCACGTGCTGGAACGTGATGTCGAGCTTGTGGTTCGGGTTCTCCGCCGCGACCCCGCCCTCGAACGCGGCGGTGAGGGTGGTGTTCCCGGCGGCGGTGAAGTTGAACGACGGGACGGCGAACGCGGCGACTTCGAAGGTGGGGATGTCGGAGCCGAAGACAATGTAGGTCAAGAGGCTCATGACGGAGGTCATGAGGATCAAGAAAACCATGAGGCAGAGAATCACCCGCGCAAATGCGAAGCTCCGGCGGGCCTCGTATTCCAGGAGGTGCGGCGGCGGCGAGGGGCGAAGAGGGGTGGAGGTGTAATTATTATTATACCCGGGGTGATGTGGAAGGTTTGGCGTGGAGGAAGGGTATTGATTGGGGGGATATACTCCGTGGGGGCCGCCGGCGGGGTAGGGGTGCGGCGGCGCGTAGGCGTGGAGAGGGTGGTTATTGGTCGTCGGGGGATATTGGTGATGATGACGGGGAAGAGGAGGATTATTAAGGGGCTGTTTGGGGGCGGGGTATCCTAAAACGCCCCCCGCCGCCGCCGTCTTTTCCTTGTCGGGTGGGGAGACATTATTGGATTTCATGTCCACCACCTCCCGGCCGGCTGCGGCGTCGTCGTCGCTGTTGTTGTTGTTGTTGTTTCTCCCACACTTTCCGGCGGCGATGAGAATTATGGCATCAAATAAAAGATTTAGCTAGCAATTAAAGAGCAAGGCGTTGTTGATGATAATATAATGTTGATTATGCTTGAAATGAAATTAATGAAAACAAAAAGAGATGAATTCATTAATTGATTGATTATTAAGCTCGATGAATTTGCATGTTTGTTGTTTCGCCTTTCATGCTCAACCGTTACAATCTTGTGTGACACACCACGACCTCTTTAAAAGTTATTATTGGGAAAGCTTTTTTCACAATGGTTATGGTTTAACCCCAAATTTTTAATGCCAAATTATTACGGAGTATTTGTCATTGCTATCACTCAACCTCTAATTATATTGGACGTGCAACCCGTCGGTCACTCGTTAGAAATTTTTTTGACTCAAATCACATCCTGTAAATCATTGATCTTGTAGTCATCCTTGAACTTCACACGCAACACAATCCACTACTCAGACACACTCGATCAAAACATGGGCTCCGATCGTCTCATTAACTAAGATCTCGCAAACCTTCATTCTAACTCTGTATTGAAGACAGAGAGAGGACTTATATAGATGTGAGGACAAATAGAGTACTTGGAAAGAAAAGCTACTTTTCTTTTTATGTATGAGCTAATTGTCCTTGTCTAAGAAATCACCCCAATCAAAAACTTAAGCTTATACTCTAACACGTCTCTCACGTGGAGGCAAGATTTTTTTCTTGCTCAAGCTCTGCACGTGAAAATTAATGTTGAAAATCGGGTGACGCTCTATACTCTCTAGATGGAGTTTTCTTGGGAGATGCGAAAGAACCCCTCCGTCGTTGCATATATGTGCCCATTAATTCCAGAGACATTGGCTGCTAAGGAGGCACAATCTTGATTAAAGAATAGTGGGGTGTTTTCCCTTCGCGTGTTTTCAGACTCTGCTATCATGTGTCATAACGTGACGAATTTCTTGGTTGACGATGGATCCTATGTGGGCATCGCTAGCTTTGATTGCAAGAAGCTTTATGCATTGTTCATTTCGTTTTATCCCTAGGCATGGTGTTACGACGATGTACCGGGAACTTTTCCTTCCAACTTTGTTCCACTTCAAATTGAATGACGTTTGTTCTCTCCTAAAATGTTTTTTTAACATTTAGTTTCGGTAGTTTAGAAATGTTATCTAAGTTTCACTTTAAATATTTACAAAATTAATCCGTATCATTAATAAAAAATATAACGTGTTGTTGCAGGCACTAGGGTGATATGATACAACTTAAAGAGTGATTTCTTATCACTTATCCCAAGTGTATGTACTCTCAATCTCAATGCAAGACATATATACAGACTATGTTTCATATAGGCCGGGTTTTCCACATTTTTATACCATTCTTATAACTGATATGTTGAATGCATCGCCGTGCACTATTTATTAGCATTGTAAATTTATTTGAATGAATGAATAATATCAGAAGAGAAGCTCTAAAAAGCCCAAAATTGATCTGCAAAACCACAACAAAATCTCTATCGTTTTTGCTCATTCCATGTCTTTCCTTCAAACAACTCAGACAGCATCCTTTCAAGGTCCTCCGGTGTGAACCGAATGTACTTCTGTGGGTTCTTTCCGTTCTGAATCATAGGCCTATCCATGCATGCATATTTAAAATCATCAAAAAAAAAATCTTATTTTACATCGTTTGCTTATGTTTAAGTGAGAAAGACAAGGAGGTTTTTAGCTTTTACCCGAAGCGCTTGTTGAAGGATCTATAAGCTGTCAATAGAACTTCAGCAACGGACAGCCTCAAGGACTCGCGCAACTCACTGTCGGGAACTGTCCATTGTGATTGCCTTTGATGAAGTTCTTCAAACAGCGTGTTGAATGTTTTGTACCTTTCCTTTACCGTTGCCCTTGAAACGTTGCTTGTGGAGCTCGAAGGAGGAGGAGGAGGATCCCCTGTAAATGAATTGCTCCCCCCTTGGGAAACTCCCTGGATCGATACACACTGAAGAATCTGCAACAAAACAATCAATGATCTGATCACCGGAGTTCTTTCTAAAGCTGATGCCTTAATTATGTTGTTGGGCTGGTTTAGAATTGCTCCCTACGTTTCACAAAACTCTTCCGCCTAATTTTTTGCACACCTCGCAGAACACTTCTACCCCCACCTAAAATGTCTAAATACACCCCCCATTGCATAGTTTATTGCGAGTAGAAGTTTTTTTAGGGTGTTTTAAACCTTTTAGGTGTGGTAGAAGTGTTTTATGGGGTGCGCAAAAAAATTAAGGTGAAAGAGTTTTGTGAAACGGGGTGAGTAAATCATAGACAAAAAATTAGTCTAATCTAATGAAGATTTGGTTTTAAAAAACCTTTGACCAAGAGAGCCTCTTGTACTGATTTGCATGCTGCTGGACTATCCTTCTATGTATCTGCACCCAATCATCGCCTAACATATCTTTAGCTTCCGACCTAAACATTAATCCAAGAAATTTTATCTTTTTAAAATTATCTGAAAGTTGTTGAAATACTATCATCATGGAGTACTATATAAAGACAGCTAGAATCCTAACCTGCGGACAGATCTTACAATGTAGTGTATATTGTTCATCATGAACAGTTGAGTCAGTGCAGGGTCTTTATATTGCTTAGATTTCCCATCAAGATTATTCATAAGAGCTTGTATGATTCGTGTTGTTATAGCTCCCATTTGGACATCTGCATCAGTGTCATCAAACTCTCCAAACAGCATTTTTAAAGTTGATTGATAGCTGTTCATACATAGTAAAAGATCAAGCAGTCAGACTTTTATTTTTTAATAAAGAGTGAGTAAAATGGATGGAGTAATGAGAGGCGTACTCGTATAAAAACTTGACATAATTGATCACATAGCTAGTTAAGGGATGGACCGTTCCATCTTGAACAGCCGTTTTCGTGGCATCTTTCTCTACGGCTTCTTCAAAGTCAACAAACGTCTCTTGAGCTGTCTCAGCCAAACGTTTTGTCAAAATTGCAGCAGCCTCTCTCACTTCACCACAATATTTATTTCCAAAAAGTATATCCAACTGTCATCATTACCAGATTTCCCAAGGAAGAAAGATGGTGTTAAGAGAATTTCGGTAAAGCATTAATATATCAGCTTTGCCTTACCAATTACAGATAACTAAAACACATGAACTAAGTGTTGTATTAAAACTGAGTTTATATCCTAAAAACTCAACCTCACAAAGTAGCTCAAGACTTATTTGCTGGTTTAGTTGAGTTTCGTTTATAAGCAATACTTAACAAGCTCTGCAATATCGCGAGTCATTGGAGGAATCCCTTTTGAAATTTGTGCACTTCATCATTTGAAAGGTTACAAGTGGCACACTTGAAGAAAGAAAAAAACACAAGAAGCAATGCTCATCTACCTCCGGTTGAACTTCTCTCATTATTTCATACATGTCAAGAAGGACAAATAGCTTTTCAGGTGATCTTTTGCTCTTAGAGATGGCCTCACCAAAACTGAGTAGGACAGACACACCATTTGTTGTAACCTCTGCAAAACATTGATCCCCTAGAGTATCATGACCTTCAAACATTTGATCAGAGACTTTCTTTTCTGCAGCAAATAAAAGCTTGACCTGTCTCAACATTAAAAAAAAGAAGAAGATACGATAGTAAAAATGGAGCCATACAACAACATCAATAATCCCTACGTAACCCCAGTTGCATTGGGACTGAGACGAGGGAATCATACAACAACAAAAAAACAGAGATGTTCTAGAGATGGCAATCACCGCAATTCGTATGTAATGAATCCAACTTTGAATTTTTGCTTCCAAAACTTCCCATTGCATCTTTTGTACATCCTCTTTCGTTACTCTTTCCACTCCTAGTTTTCTAAGACTCAGTTCAACAACCGAAGATCGGACTTCTCTGGATATTCAGGAGAACGTTTAATGAATTCTTAGTATAGTTAAGGGAACAATTTTGGAGAAGAAAATGCTTCATATAAAGTATTGAAGTTTTACTTCCCTTTCTCCCCGACAAATTGTTCATATGGATAAGGTCTCTAATCCCCACATCAGATATGGCAACTTATGTATGCAAAAATCAATTCCTCTAAAAACATAACTGTTTCCACTGAAATCATTTGAAACATACTACAACTTTACATTATGTAGAGAAAGATAACCAATAGGCAATCCATGGACTCCAACTCCCTCTATAAACTATTTTTTGGGATCAAAGCTATAAAATACATATTTTAAAGTAAAAACTACACAATGCATATGGAAATGGCACCAGAACTGTAATACATACCTACCGAATATTACTTTGTATACAGTTTCTTGTAGCTTTTCTAAAATTATTGCATGCGTTCCAAATTCAATAAACGTACTTTAACAATATGCAGTGTACACTCTTGGACTTGTACTTCAACTCATTCATGCAAAAATTTAGTACTCAAAACTCTTTAGAAGTTTAGACTACTACCTCAGTCCTCCTTTTCCGGCCATGCTTATCAAACTTAGAAAGAATAATACTTATGAATTCAGGATTTCGCTGAAAAGGAAATACTCCGAAGACTAGGTGAAAGGGACTAGAAAAGTATATACCACCTTAGCGTCTTCAATGTAATTTCTAAAGAGTAATCGTTCCAACTTCCAAATTGTTACATAAACCATTTGAGGAGCCAAAGTTGCCTATTGTTGTTCAAAATTTTAAATTAAATGTCAAACTGAGCTATCAGATTACAACCCAAGATTATCTTTTACCTGTAAATGTTGAAAACTTCTGGCAGGTGACCAGCTTGAATCAGCTGATGGGCCAATGCATGAAGAAGCGGCACAATTCTTGGTGGAATAAGAGCTGGAGGGTGGTAAATAGCTGTTTCTAAACTCCTGGCCTGGTGCTGTTTCATGCTACTACCTTCACTGTGACCAGTTGATGCTGTTGATGGTCGTAGAGATTGAGGTAAACAATCAAAAAGACGATCGGGTTCCACCGGTTTGCTAATAACCATCCAAGTATAAGTGAGAGATCATTATAATATTACCACATGGAAAATAACCAACCCAACCTATGATCTTGTCGAGTTAACCTTAGGATAAAGAGAAGTGGAAGATATAGCAAAATTTTAGATTTTGAATACGAGATAAAGTAATCAAACTAACAAATTTCTATATTCTCCCCAAAATACCATAAGAAAATGCATCAATTTGATCAAAAACAGTAAGAGGAAAGTGAGCAAACCTGTATGATGTAAGAAGCTGACGAAACTCCTCTTCTAGTTTAACAATTGACTTTGTGATTAAAGTAGTGGCATGTGTAATCACTCCTATACTACCCTTAAAGTTTTTGTTACCACTAAAGAATTTAACAACACTCCTCAACTGATCACACGCCTCCAGATAACTTTCTAAGTCCTCATGTGGCCCCTTAAGGATTTTTGCCTCTGCCTGAAGTTTTGAAGCCACCATTAATAATACAAAGTATGTAGAGGAATCTGGGAAAAAAGATCTGCATATCAAATTGATATACCTGCCGTGCAAGATCAAATTGACCTAAAATGAGCTCAGTAACTTTGCGCGTCTTGTCAATGTTCTCGTGCGCCCTTCGGATTGAATGTGTTCGTATCTAGATTATCCAAACTCGAGCCGCTTCAGTCATAAGTATAAAGAACAAACACATTTTTCATATTAATGTGTGTGTATGATCACAGGACGCCTCAATAGATTACAATCTCTGGTGTTCTTACAAAGCGTTGTTAAATTAGACTGAATTAGCATTCAAATTTGAAGCCACGCAAGTACGAATCTATGAAATTGTGATTCAATCGTAATACATTGAGAGCAGAGAACATGATTTTGTGAATATCTGATGGAAAAACAGGTACTGTATGAATCGAATCGGAACCTGGGTGGGGCGCATGGCGGTTTCTAGGGCGGAGAGGCGGTGGTCGAACGAACCGAGAATCGAGACCATGTTATCGGTGATGGTTTGGCTCTTGTGTAGCGATTCCCTCATGAACGACGCTTTCTCCTTAAGGATTTCCATGGCTACCTCCGGTGAGACGGCCATTTCTGACTCTCGCTACCTTCGTCAGAAGGACGGACGCGGTCGCCGTTGTTTTCTCCCACACTTTCCGGCGAGCGAAGACGACGATGAAAATTACACCATAATCATCGAAGGACGATAATATTGATTATGCATCAAATTGAATAAAAACGAAAAGAGTGATGATTTGATCAAGCTCTGCCCCGGGATGAATAGCATGTTTGTTGATTCGTCTTTCATCCTCATCCCACCCATGCAATTGCAAGTTTGCACAAGGGTAAAATTGGCACTTCAAGTAAGAGTGGATCAAGAAAATAGGATGATTGAGCTATTTGAAAGAGAAAAAAAGATCTACGTGGATCCATAAAAAATACTCCCTTCCTACCTCATATATCTTTCCAATAACCCTTTTTCTTTGTCTACAATAGATCTTCTCATTTCATTTTTTAACAATTAAAATACCACAACTACCCTCACTTACTTTATTTATTACACCTCACCCACCTCATTTAATACACTCCACCCATTTTCATTAAGGGTATTAAGGTAAACTTTCTCATTTTTTCAACTCTCCTTAAAAACCACCAAAAGTCAAAATGAGAACATCTTAGGGGGACGGAGGGAGTATGAGAAAGTCTACATTTTACGTGTAAATTTTAAGATAATAGGAGCATAACCCGATTCAATGCAGCGCTCTTATAATTTTTTGGAATACGAAGTAAAATGATAAAAATGATGTTAAATTTAATCTTAATATTTTGAATTAAAACACATAATTTATGATTAAGTAAATAAATCATTTTAAATTTAGAACTAATATAAATAGATTTTTAAAAAATTAACTTGCCATTAATTCATATCATCATTGTGCAAAGCATTACAAATAATCACCAGAAAGACAGAGACTCACTCCAGAAAATCAGATATAGAATCAAACGCTCTAACCATGAAATGACCAACGTGATTCGCTGACCTACGAACTACGGACCACAAGAGCCAAAAAACTCTGCTTTTAAACACAAACAATCGGAAATAATACTTGTGAAGTACGAATTATCTTTCAAGTTCTTATGTAATGTTTAAAAAAATCGTCGTATTGTCTATCTCCACCTCAATCAGTTGATGTACCTAATTTCTTTTAAGCCAACTCAGCACCTCCCAAACTCTCATTGCCTCCGCCATGAGTGCTTTATCAACGTAACCCGACCCCTTGTATACCCCTCGAAGGAACCCTTCCGGTGGAAGTCACGTAAATCATTCCCACAATTTGATGACACCGTTGATTGGCGCCTTCCATGAGTTCCAATTTGTTAAGATCGTAGAAGCACAATTCGGCCTGGTGCAGCTGTGCATCGCTCCTATGTTTTTTTTGAAATACGAAGTAAAATGATAAAAATGATACTAAATTTATCTTTATATTATGAATTAACACGCATAATTTATGATTAAATAAATCATTTTAATTTTAGAACTTAAATATAAAGAGTTTATTTAGACTAATCTTTAAATAAAGATTTTTAAAATGTTTGAGCCCCCCTCCCCCCCAACTCACCTTTTCTTTTCTTTTTTCTAACTAAATGGGTGTTTTGGAAAACTGATAGGGATATCATTTTTCAGGTTTTTGTAGTGAAGACATCCTTAAAATTTAGAAAAAAGTTAGTGTGTTTAATAGAAATCTTTTTAAATTTAGTGCGGACAAGTGTCCCCGCGCCCCCGTTTGAACTATTGTGCATTTGCCCTTCACTAAGACCATCTCTGTTTTTTCATAATAAACTAAAATTCAAAATGTGGTAAATGTCAAATTTACATCAATTTATCTGAATTCATGCCACCAAAATCAAAATAATATTTACATGATATATTCTTTTTTTATTACTTTTTACAAAACTAGAGTAAATGTGACTATTCTTTTTAAAATATGTAATGTTTTAATTACAAAAAAAAATTATCTCCTTATTCAAACAAGTGAATTGTTGTTATTCAAAGAACATTGTTCAAAAAAAAGTTGGGTGTCTTGTAGAAGGTACACTAGAGTATAAACATGAGTAGTCCGAAGGATGTGCAAAGTGGTCAGTCGTACATGATATCTAAATTTTTAGGGCCTCATATTTTTAAATTCGACATTAATTTTAAAGTAAAAGTATTCTAAAAAATAAAAATAGGATCCAAAATGTAAAATTTAAACATTTATAAAAGGTTGTTAAGTAATGGTAAATCGTAAGATTAAAAAGAAATAAAATCATTCACAAATTTAAACATGCTTTTAAAAGAATTAAAAAAACCAACAAAAATATACTCATATAAATGGATTTTACCAAATCCTCCACGAATTCCTTCCTCTCTCTGAGGACTTATAGTACGTAAAGTTCCTAATTAACAAAGTTCCCAATTTTACTATGGAGTATTTTCTCTCCGTGCGAAAAAAAAAAAATAAAATATTCTAAGATGGTTTTCCTCAAGTGCAGTAGGATCCGGCACAGGGGATTGCAGCTTCTCCGCAATATTTTCCTTCTACAGTGATGAGCGTCCGATTGGGCCGACCCGAGTCCGAAACCTTTCACGGATGACCGGGTCATCCGGGCAGGGGTGGAAAGCCGTTGGTTCGCCGTTCTTCTTCTTCTTGCCGCCGCATTCCTCGCATTTGCCAAGGTAATTTTCGGTCATCGCCGAATAGATTTCTTCGATATCGGGTAGACCATTCGGATCCGGTCCGGAGCTAGCTTCCGGGTCGTCGGGGCTCGTCGGGTCCGGGTGCTGGAGGATCTTCGGGTTCGGGTCCGGATTCGATCTAGCCATCGCCATTGCGTAATTCTGCTTCTGAATGTTCAAATCTTGCAGCCTATTGTTCAGACCGGCCAACTCCGCCAACGAAATCTGGTCGAATTGAGGCGGACGGAACCCGGAGAGGACCGGATCGGCCGGGTTCATCATGCTGACGTGAAATTCCGGCTGGTTCCGGCGCAGCAAGATCAAATTCCCCACCGGGGGCGAGCGGGCGGCGAACTCGGACTCCCACAGCAAATCCTCGCACTCCTCCATCCAATTCGCCCTCGGCCTCCGCCTCCGCGCCGACTTGCGCGATCTCTTCAGCACGGCGAGGATGAAGCAGTCCTTCTCGCAGGCGACGATGAACTCGAAGTTCACCTTCCCGGTGATGGGAGTCTTCTTGCGGTCCGACTTGCGGTTGCAGAGGTAAATCGAAATCTGGTTGGGGGAAATCCCGATCCGCCGGCTGATCGTGAACTGGAAATTCTTGAATTCCATCATCGGGTTGACGCGCATGCGCCCGATGTCGACCTCCTGCTGGCCGTCGAAGAACACCACGGGGAACGCCGCCCCACCGCCGCCGTCGCCGTCCGCAACCATTCTCAACGGCTGAGACGCAACGTGGGAAGGAAGAATACGGCAAGAAGGGGACGGATTTGTTGGGGGAAGGGACGGGGGGATATATAATGTGAGATTGTGAGCAAGGCGGTTGGGGGTATTTTGGGAAATAAGCTATTCACGCGATTGGTAATTTGGTAAGTAGAGTCCCGATGACAATACTTTCCGAGCGGTGGTGGGGCCCGTGGATTACTTGGGAATCAAGAACCATAACTAGATGGGATACTCTCTCAATTACTCGCTCTCCCATTCCCACAAGATAATTGAAAAAAAAAAGTTGTTTTTATTTTTATTTATATGAAAAATCGGGATAAAGTAAAAAAATAAAATTTAAAACTATATATTAAAATTTATAAAATATGAGGTGGTACTACGATATTCTTTTTTGATGAGTTGTGAAAGTAAAAAAAAATTGTACTAGAGAATTTAATATTTACTTCGTCCCAAGATCTGACAAAACAGTTGGTCAAATCGGGTTTGGGTTTAGTATTATCTGGTTTGGATGTGTTGGGGTTTGATTCTAAGAGTGCTTGCTCGTGATCCAAAGTTATTGAATTCAGGTTAACCAAATAGGTTAATAGACGTATTTAAAATTTAAAATTTTTGCTATTTAGATATCAAGTGATCAACGTATTATTCTAAACAAAGAATGAAATCATAAAAGTTTATACGTCTACTTGCAATATATCAAAAGAAAATTGCAATATACCAAAAAATCATATTTTTGCAACATACAAAAAAAGTTACAGTAGATGGAAAAAATTGAAGATTCTTTCAACATACCACAAAAAAATACTCCCTCCGTTCCCAATTTGATTACAAATTGTGGGTTACGGAGTAAAATTTCCTACTTTTTGAAATCATTTTATTTACAAATTGGTATATCAATATGATATAAAAATTACATATTAAAAAACTACGTCAAAAGTTCTACAAAACAAGAGGTGACAAGAATATATAAATGCATTATTATACAAATAAGTGAGATTCTTACAACATACCAAAACAAAAATTTGCAGTATATGAATAGTCGGATTCTTGTTTATATTTTAAACATGGTACCGTGAGTACATTTTTTTATAGAATGTACCAAAACATGTACAGTCATTACATAATTGTAGCATATAAAAAATGTAGTATACCAAAAAAAAATTAAACAATACCAAAAAATTTATAATATACCAAAAAATTTAAAAAAAAAATAATTAAAACTTGAGTTGCCCGCAGACGCAACTGAATAAAATGAATTAAGATTAGAAATTCCACTATTGTTATGGTGTCTTCTCACCATTTTGATTAAGTCGGCACCTAATATCGATTGATGGTTGAAGAGTGGAAGAACGAAAGAGATAGAAAAAGAGAGGGGAAGAGAGAGACTAGAATGTGGCTAGATTTAGATTAAGTTTTACACTTTTTGAGTTTTAAATAGCCTGATAGATAAATCATATCTTAAATGAATATATAATAATAAATAACAAATAAAAGTAAACAATTAAATGCATAACTTGTGAGTTCAAACCCAACCCGACCTGAAAATTTAATGGGTCTTTGAGTTCGGGTCATTTCAGGTTCAAGTCGCAAAATCGATGTTAAAAACCCACTAATTTCGTGTCGGATTACATATTAATAGCGGGTTGGGTAAAATTTTTGTGGGTCTATCGGTCCCAAATCCTTTGGCTTAATAAAAATGAGAAAAATGACCAAAGTATACAAAATTAATGAAATAAATAAAGTAATCAATAAAAATTAAGTTAAAATTGAAAAGAAACAAAAAATACAAGATAATTTTTATTTTATTTCCTACCAATTTTAGGTTAACTTATATTTATTACTATTTTTTATTACCTTTTTGTGATTTTTTTCGTTATTTTTTATATCTAATTTTTTTATTTTAATCCAAAGTTAGACTAATCTTAAAAAAATAGAAATGATAGAGGTTGAAATTAATTTTTAAAAAAATTAAATTAAAATTCCTAAAGAAAAATTAAGAGACGAAATTCATCGAAAATAATCCCAACGTTTGTTTTGTACATGACGTTTACGTTAACTCGCAGTTAGTAACTTAACGGTGACCCAAAATTTACAAACTTCAATAAAGTTGGGATTATTATGCATCAACGTGAAATGTGAGATTATTTTTGAAAGAACGGATAAAGTTGAGATTATTCAAGATAATTTTTCCAATTTAAATTATAACTGAATGTATTTTTTCACAATTTATTATCAAATACACACTAAAAGCAAATTATGACAAATAATTTAGGAAGAAAAGAGTTCAATTTGATTTATTTATAATCAAATTATAAAAAGTTGGATCATTAACTAAATAAAAGTTATATTGCATAGTAATAAATAATATAACCTTTTAAAATTTTTAGCAAGAAAAATTTAACAATGCTACCTCTGTCCCAAAACAATACGTACAAATGAAAAACACGGAGACTAAGACAAATTTGATGAGATGTAATGTAGTTGAAGTAGTAGAAAAAATATAAAAAAGTGGTACAATAATGCTTTGTATAGTGTGTAAAATGTTAAACCCACCAATCCATATTTTTTATCTTATTTGTTACCAGTTTCAAGTTAATGTGATAAATTTAGGATTGGGTGTGGATAACTGGATTGGGCAATAAGACACTTGAGCTGAACCACATTAAAAAATTGAATCCAATCGATTAGTTAGTTCAACTATAGAGCTTATATACCGATTATTTTACTCTTAGATTTTCCGATGTGGGATGTACTCTAACACTCCCCCTCAAGTGGACAACCGGGCCATTTTGAATCTAACCGGTTGACCACTTGCAAATGAACTCCCATTCCCTTGACTTTTTTTTTATAAGCGCCAACACCTAAAGGACCACGAGTCGCTGGGTATGGACTTCCAGACGAGCAATCGTGTTAAACAGGCCACAGGCCGTTGGATACAACCTCCCTACGGACAACTGGGCTAAAGACTAACGGGCCGCTAGGAATGAACGTCTAGACGGACACCTTGACAAACGAGGTGGGCTAAAACTGGCTCCGATACCATGATAGAATTTAGGATGGGGTATGGACAACTGAATTCGGCAATAAGACATTTGGGTTGAACCACATTTAAAAGATTGAATCCAATCGATTAGTTAGTTCAACTCTAGAGCTTATATACCGATTATTTTACTCTTAGATTTTCCGATGTGGGATGTACTCTAACATAATGTCTATTTATTACTATTTTTTCATTAATTTTGTATGATTTTAGTTATTTTTTCATTTTTGTTATTTTTTATATCTAATTTTTTAATTTCAATTTTAAGTTAGACTAATCTTTAGAAAATAGAAATGATAGAGGTTAAAGGTAATTTTAAAAAATTAAATTAAAAATTCCAAAAAGAATAGTCACATTTTTTGTAGTTTCGTAAATGTATGTACATTTGTAAATTTTATTTTTAAATTTCACATCAATTTTTCCATATAATTAAATTTCAAATAATTCGAGTGAAACCAAAGTATCCTTTTAATTACAAAAAAAAAAATTATCTCATAATTCGAACAAGTGAAGTGAATTGTTGTTACTCAAAGAACATTGTTCAAATAAAAAGTTGGGTGTCCTTTGGAAGGTACACTAGAGTATAAGGGTTGTTAAGTAATGATAAATCGTATGATTAAAAAGAAATAAAACCATTTCACAAATTTAAACATGCTTTTAAAAGAATTAAAAAAAAAAACCAACAAAAATATACTCATAAATGGATTTTGACTATGGAGTATTTTCTCTCCGTGCGAAAAAATAATATAAAATAAAATATTCTAAGATGGTTTTCCTAGAGTAGAGTAGCAATATTTTCCTTCTACAGTGATGAGCGTATGATTGGGCCGACCCGAGTCCGGAACCTTTCACGGATGACCGGGTCATCCGGGCAGGGGTGGGAAGCCGTTGGTTCGCCGTTCTTCTTCTTCTTCTTGCCGCCGCAATCCTCGCGTTTGCCGAGGTAATTTTCGGTCATCGCCGAATAGATTTCTTCGATATCGGGTAGACCATACGGATCCGGTCCGGAACTAGGTTCCGGGTCGTCGGGGCTCGTCGGGTCCGGGTGCTGGATGATCTTCGGGCTCGGGCTCGGGTTCGGGTTCGGGTCCGGATTCAATCTAGCCATCGCCTTTGCGTAATTCTGCCTCAGAATGTTCAAATCTTGCAGCCTATTGTTCAGCTCGGCCAACACCACGGTGAACGCCGCCCCATCGTCGCCGCCGCCCGCAACCATTCTCAACGGCTGAGAGAGCTGTGTAGAGGCGTGAAACGCAACGTGGCAAGGAAGAATCCGGCAAGAAGGGGACGGATATATAATGTGAGTAAGTAGAGTCCCGATGACAATACTTTCCGAGCGGCCCGTGGATTACTTGGGAATCAATAACCATAACCAGATGGGATACTCTCAATTACTCGCTCTCCTAGTCCCACAAGATTATTGAAAAAAAAAGTTGTTTCTATTTTTATTTATACAAAAAAATTGGGATAAAGTAAAAAAATAAAATTTAAAACTACATACAAAAATATACGGAGTACAAAATATGAGGTGGTACTACGAATTTTTTTTAGATGAGTTGTGAAACTAATCAATATTTGTACTAGAGTATTTAATATTTACTCCGTTCCAAGACCTGGTAAAACAGTTGGTTAGGTCGGGTTTGAGTTCGGTATTATCGGTTTGGATGTGTTTGGATTTGAATTTAAGAGTGCTTGTTCATGATCTAGAGTTATTAGGTTCGGATTGACCCAACTGCTTAAGAAACGTATTTAAAATTTAAAATTTTTGTTACTTAGAGATCAAGTGATCAACACATTATTCAAAATAAAGAATGAAATCATAAAAGTTTATAGGTCTACTTGCATTATACCAAAAGAAAATTGCAATATACCTAAAAAATCATATTTTTGCAACATACAAAAAAAGTTACAGTAGATGAAAAAAATTGAAGATTCTTTCAACATACCACAAAAAATATATGCATTATACAAAAAATTGAGATTCTTACAACATACCAAAGCACAAATGTGCACTATATGAATAGTAAGATTCTTGCTTATATTTTAAACATGGTACCGTGAGTATAGTTTTTATAGAATGTATCAAAAC